GTTCAGGTTATCTCTAAGACTTACAGCCCCTCCATTCATCAAGTTTGCTTTTATACCAAATTATCTGGAAGTCTTAAGTTTTTTTGTTTTTTTGTATTTGACTTTCTTCACATGTTTGCTTCCACTGTCTTTTTTATCAGACCGCGTCTAATATTCTTGRCCTATAAAACTTAAGGTATATTCTTTATCAATCTACTACTTACGGCTCCAGTATCTAAAATTTGTAGGAGTCTCTAAACTTCCAGTCTGTTTATGATACGACTGTCTCAACAACCTTCAGTCCTTTTTTTTAAAGGATTGTTTCCAACAAAATGTTGCTATTTTAGCCGACTATTTCTAAAACATCCAGCTTTTGAAATTTCCAGTACTCCCTTTAATATATCGCCTCTGAGAATTCCGGTATCTAAGATTCCTAAGACTATCTCCGAGACTTTTAATCCAGACTGCCATTAGTTTTCAGTTCTGTTTTGGTAGACTATCGAAAAAAATTCAAGTCACTTTTCAGATTGGTTATTTTTTCATGATCAGGYTTCATCCAAAAACTAGTAAGTAGCAGGCCACAAATATCCCGATATCTGAATTTGGTATCGCCGCAAAACTAATACGACTATGCCAACTGACGTTGGGCAATAAAAAAAAGCCCAGTAAGGATCAGGAAGGACACCTCCTAGCTGTTCGATACCAAACGAGGTTTCAGACAAGGCKACTCCCTAATGWGCGARTTCTTCAATCTGCTGCTGGAGAAAATAATTCGAGTTGCAGAACTAAATAGAGAAAGTACGATCTTCTATAAGAGTGTACAGCTGCTGGAGTATGCCGAGGTATGCCACTCCACCAAAACAGATTTTTGAGAGCTGATATCCAACTACAGGAGTCTTCCATCTGGCTTCTATAAGGATTATACGGACTATAAGAACTTTACGGAATAGTCTAAGGGATCAGCTATCTAACGTAACTTAATTACTCCACAATAAGATGGAACGGCCGATTACGTTTTAACTTTGGAAATGTCTCCATATCTTATATCTTACATATGGAAACTTGATACTTGTATATGGAGACATTTGTGAAGTTAGAACTGCTGTACATTCATTCAGGAGAGCCTCTTGAATGCCTTAAAGACACCGCTTCATAACCAAAAGACGTACGCAACTCGACACAAAAACCCCTCAGGCACGTTAGCGCACATAGGTCGACAAAGTTCGATGGCTACCGAGCATCATTGGCAACTCAAACCATTCAGGCGATTTGACACTGACAGGATAATCATTTCTGATTGCCAATACACATTTAGTGYGATTTAGTGCCAGGAGTTGCWAGGATAATGCATGTAATCCGCTATTWTGCGAAGCRCAAGCACTTGACAGACGTCTCCAACGCACACAATCGGCTATCGCTCCCACCACACTCCCTCTTTGRATAACTGTATTGGGCAGCGCATTGCCATTCCAACGCCAAGTGGCGRCAATCAAGCGGAAGTTGTTACTATTTATTATTGCTTTGTAGCTTGCCCGAATGTTGTTGCTGTCGTTATTGCTATCGCATTGTTACAATTTGTTGTCAGCAAGGACTATTGTTGTTGTTGTTGGATGTTGCCATTGTTGCAYGTTAAAAATGCCGAAAATGTGTTCGATTTCACACGGTGCTCTCAGCGGCGCACACATAAAGATCATATTTGAATTTGTTGAACGCTTAGTTGTTGTATTTTGTTTTGTTGCTGTTTGTTGCAARGGAGTGGTGTTCATTTTGAAGTGGCTACCCGCTCGATTGCCCGCCTGGCTTTTGCCCATTTTTTCATGCATCAAATGTAACTTATATATTTATGTATGCTTGTGTGCGTGTAGTATAATGCGATTGCGTGTGTGAGTATGTGTGTGYGCTGTGGTTGAATTGTTGAACTTGAAACTCTAATCGCTTTTGTATTTTTATGCTACATTTAATATTGGCTTAAGAGCTTTGAAGCTAGCAATGTACGAAATGAAGTGAGTGCGTTTATATACATTTATAAATACTATATATCTGTGTATGTATAATTGTATTTATGAATATTTGTATGTGTATGTGTGAGTGTCAGCAATCGAAAATTAATGGAAGGTTTTTAATAATTTTTTTTAAAGGGTTGATTTTTTTATAGGATTAGATCTAAAAATGGTTCAGATTAACAGCTTTCACTTGTGAATTTAAAAATCGATTTCTGCACACATATTTGAAAATATTCSCGATTTTCTTGCGACACATATGTACATTTGCAATTATCTCCAAAATTTTCGATTTCGAAAAAAAATCTCCGAAAATTTCGACTTCGAAAAATATGCTCCGAAAATTCCGGTTCGATAAATTCGATTTTTCTTTTGCTATGTATAGTATTTGAAAATATTCTCTAAAAATCGCTTTCGAAAATATTGTCCAGAAAATTTCGATTTCGAAATATTCRATTTTCTTTGCAAAGCATTTTCGTATTTGAAAATATTCTCCGAAAATATTGATTTCGATAAATAAGCTCCGAAAATTTCGATTTTGTAAAACACGAGCTTCTATGCAATACATACATATGTACATGTATTTGAAAATATGTACTCGTATATGCACGGAAAATTTCGATTCRAAAAATTCGATTTTCTACACAAAACGTAAGTGTGTATATTTGAAAACATTCTCCAAAAAATCGATTTCGAAAAATATTCTCCGAAAATTTCGATTTCGAAAAATTCGGTTTTTGCAGTACATACCTTTATTTGAAAATATTTTTTGGAAATTCATAACTTATTTGCATGAATGTTTTAAACYGATACTAACGGGCCCAAATCATTACAGAGCTGGTGAGAAAATTTCCTCCGAAACGGCTGGTCCAATCGACTTGAAATTATCACACTGCTCTCCTAGCCATATCTATTTGTCAGTTAATGTTTGMAAGAATAAGCCTTTTGATAATATTTAAAAATTTCCGAAGTTGCGYTKAAKTGAAGATTTTTTCACAAAATACGACTTTTTTTTGGAAAGCCACAAATTTGTCAAACATTAAAATTTTTACTAGTAATTGGATCATAGATGAACGAAGATAATCTACATAATAATTATGTTCTCTTGATTTTCGAATTTGAGAAAATTTGAAACAGAAAAATTTTCTTCTCAAACAGACACCTTTTTTCAGAAGTGCTTCTTTGAAGCATCTCTGCTACAAAAGTCACATGATGCAGCAGGCTTCCTAAATTTTAGGATAATTCCGGCTATATCTTAAATACCGAGCTCCAAGAATCTCATCTTCAAGGATATGTGCGGAAGAACCTGGCAACGAGTAGTCAGATTCCCGATCTACTATTATAATCAATACGCTTTATATTTTCTTGAAACTGTCTCGAAAACCTACATGTTCGTAACTCATCGAAACGCTTCAATATTCACGTTTCCCAATAAAAKTTGTAAAGACCTTAGCAATCAAAGCTTAACCAATTACTAACTGCAGTTAATATGACCAACTAGCTTGTTGTCCGATTTCCACCCGACAATCTGTGGACAGACTAATATGACGTAGAAGACCAATCGTCAAAAATATCGCTAAAACAATCGAAATTATCGAGTCCGACCGACACATTAGCACTGCTTCGATTGCTCAGGACTAAAACATTGAACAAAAAATCGTTTCGAACTACTTAAATAGCGTTGGATTGAAAAAGAACCTCGATGTTTGGGTGTCATATGGACAAAATCATCATCTCATCCGCAAGTCAGTATTGATGGTCAGAAAGGTTTTGCGAATAGCTGCTGAATCTCAAAMAAATCGATCCATTCTGAAGCCGGTGGTTACTGTTGATGAAAAGTATGTCACGTACGATAGCGTCGTACTTCGAGCTATATGAAAGTTTCTAGATAAAAAGTCCGAGAAGTAAGTTGAAAGCATGTATACTTTTAGTATCGAGAACTAAATATGATAAAATAAGGCTAAAGAAGGACCAAGGGAAGAACAGAATCCATCGATATTTTTTGGAATTTTTGTGCGGAACTTTGCTAAAAAAAACGGTAATAAGCGCTTTCAGACAGTTTCTTAAAGGAATGGTACCAGTCGTGGTCGAATAGTGGTGTGCCGATGCAAATGGTGGCCAAGTCAGGATTGATGGTCTGAAAAGTTTTGCAATCTATTTGGTACGATTGGCAGGGCATCAGCTACAATAAGCTGCTTTCTGACGCCGATACTCTTAATTCGGACYTCTAGTGTCAAGAACTGTCCGTCTGAATTAAGCAATCGTCCAAATGCRAACAGTTTTGTTCAATAGAAGAGGAACTATATTCCAACAAGACAACATCCGTCAACACATAGCGGGCTAGGAAAGCTTGGCTAGAATGTGGTTACCCATCCCTTAGTCTGGAGTCACCACAAAGTGATCTGTACTTGTTCCTGTCCATGATACAGGATTTTCTCTGGCGAAAAATACGGCTCTAGAGTTTCTTGTGAAATTCGATTATACCAGTCCTTATGCCTTTAAGATGGCGTAGAGTTATCGATTAAAACTGTATATATTTGACATAAATCTGATTGTTATAACTTTATTAATGGAATTATTCACAAATTGAAGACTCAAGCTGAACTCAGAGACTTTCAAACTGCTGAGTTGGAGATARCTCTACAGAAAAAGGTTTAGACTTTACATAAAGCATTAAATATATCTAGATTTGGTACATTATTTATTTATCTCACAGAGTGACGCCCTTCGGCGTTATGATAATTTAAACTCAAATAAATRCCTCAAATAAATAAACGTTAAAAAACCCTTTGATGAATTCTTCAGCCTATCAAAATAATAATGGTTAAGGCTTTCATTGCATGCTA